TAAATCAAAACCGTCCATTTCTTTCTGTTAGACATCTCGAAGGCCTTCGACCGTGTATGTCACGAAGGCCTTCTGCATAAGATAATCGCTCGCGTTCGACCTGCCTCGGAGCCTGATTCGGTGGATTGGGTCTTTTCTGAAAGACAGAACATTTCAGGTTAGAGTAGAGGGCTCTCTATCTGACAACAGAGAGATCCTCGCTGGAGTGCCACAGGGGACCGCTCTCTCTCCCACGCTGTACTCTCTCTACACGAGTGACTTCCCGAGGTCCGAACGTGAGAAGATATCTCTCTTCGCCGATGACACGGCTCTCCCCTCATCTTTTAGGGGTAGGGAGCTTGGGATCGTCTACATACAACGTGCATTGGACGACCTCGAGCGCTGGTACCTCGAATGAAAGATCCAAGTGAACCCGGACAAGACTCTGGCGATAACTATGGGAAGAAATATATCTTCTCCGGCTGGAAAAGTGAGGATGTCTGGAAGGGAGATCGACTGGCAAGCGCGGGTATATTACCTCGGTCTTCTAATAGACCATAGGCTCATAATCGTGAAGGCAAAGATCGAGGGTCGGTCGGATCAAAAGTCTGTACCCTCTGATCAACAGACGATCCAAATTGAGCCTAAAGAATGAAGTTACGATCTACAACACGATGTTCAAGCCTGTCATCATGTATGCTTCAGGCGTCTGGGGACAAGCGGCTCCGTCTAATATCTCCATTCTGGAGAAACTCCAAAATAAGTTCATACGGATGATTGTGAATGCTCCGTGGTTCGTGCGGAATAAAGCCATCCGCAGAGATTTGCAACTGTCTTTCATTCAGCAGTCCATTCAGTCGAGGAATCGGCGAGTTTTTGATAGTGCGGAAACTCATGAAAATCCGTCAGTTAGGGAAGCTATAGACTATGCTGCAGATATAGAAGGCCCAGACACTCTGTCGAATGAGGCCCTCATGTCCCCCATTGAAAGATGAACCATTTTTCATCCATCTCACCCCAGCCAGGTAGGGGTACACCGTGAAGGGCGGTACTGACGTGTGAGGACTTTCATATCACCAACCCCATTCAGTCATGACCCATTTGCCCTTCTGACAAATGCCAGCCGCAAGGGTAAAGGAGCTAGGCTCCAACCTGTCTGAACTGAAGATTATCAGTCGGTGTTCTGGAACACCGGTCCTGAAGAGGTGGAGAATTGAACGTTTTGCTTACATCTGCGGTAGACATCTTCAGCGGCCATGTAGTAACCTCGACGAAAGTTTCCGAAGAGATTCACAAGTTGCGGCTTATTGTCTACTATACAGTGTTTCGCAGTGAGTGCACAAAAATATATGAATAACATTTCAATATCACTCTCTTCTGGATATTGTCATTGCTTTTCTTATATACGAAATAATATTTTTTCTGAAGAGTTAGTAAAGACACGCCCCAAATAGCCATTGTATGGCGAAACACGTGTTGCTTTTCTGTAAAACTGTTGAAAATATGTGAAAATATCACAATTATGTTTTTTTTTATTATATTCTGAAGGGTCTTCATTGAAATTAACTGAGTTTAACCCTTCCTTCGTAATTGCCATGCCTCCAAAAATAAATAAATGAATGTTTGTTTGGGAAAAGCATTTCAACCTCATTTCTGTTGCCCTTATCTAACCTTATGTTTACTACAAGGTGCTTTAAGTGTTTATCGAAGTGCAAGGCTACCATTATAATTACGCCGATATGAGGAAAATAACTTGTAATGAAGAAACAAACAGGCGGTTGATCTTCGGATATAATAGTCATGAACTATATAGGTTGTCTAAAATTGTAGAAAGTCGAATTATGAATTCACAAATTATCACATCAATTTATAGAAGTTTTATATGATTTTTAACACGTTCGAAAGATTTTGAAATTTTTTTATCCACTTTCTTTGAGTATTTTCACCTTCCACAAAGAAGGTCTATGAAAAGTAATTTTCCTTCACAAAAACATGACTATCGTTCAATAGTAATTATTGTGAACATCAGGTATATCAATCTTAGTCAGATCATTGAAATACGACAATGACAGAACAAGAATAAGACAAGTGTCTGATTCACAAGGAATAAATTATGTTGTTGTTATTTTATAATTTTATTAGTTGTATTTTGGAAGTGTTGTCATTATATTGAGGAATAAATTATTGCATATATTTTTTACACTATTTACGCAGTTCCCCAAGCCTCTGGAATCAATGATATCGCCCCGGATGCCAATTAATTTTTGTTGTTGTTTTTTAATTTCATGAATTGTATTTTGAAAGCGTTATTATTATATTGAGGAATAAATTCAAATTAAAATGTTTCATACATTTTTTACACTATTTACGCAATTCTCCAAATGAAAGAGTTTTCAAACAGTGAAGTTCGAGGTGTACTGAGTTGAACCTCAAAACGATGAGCAGCCACAGTCTGTGGCGTATTTCTGACATGTACCGCTCTTGGTGGAATTAAATGTGCCAAGACCTTTGAACACTTTCCGTGAAAGTATCTATAGAAGAGAAACAAATTCCCATTCTTTCTTCGATGTTCCAGACTATCGAGGTTGCAAGTGATGTTCGCGTCTTCAATCAGGCAAATGGCTCTTTTCGGGATGGAATCCGGCAGCTTCAGGGTATAATTAGGGGCGGAGCTCCATACATGCGAATAATACTCTAAAGAAGGTTTGATATGAGCTTCATAAAGCATCAAAAGCTTGAGGTGTCTACAGTTTTCTGGTTCGAAACAGTATTCCAAACTCTTGAGAAGTAGCTTCTGCAATTCCAGCGAAATGATTGTGCCAAAACATATTGGTGTCCATTTTAATCCCCAACAAACTTATTGAAGCAGAAAACAGAATAATCTGTCGTTGATATACAATAAAAAGAGGGTTGAAGACAATATGGATCCCTGGGTAATACTATTCAATTTAACTTTTTCAGAATGTTGTTTGTAATAATAGAAGTGATTTTGAAAAATATTACAACGTTTATGGATATGTAATATAAAAAAACAAGTTTTTTATATTGCCCCCCTCAAGGCACATATTCTGAATACGTCCCAGAAATTTGATGTTTCCTTGTTCTATACTGGCTCAATTTGCCCCACTTTAATAGATATTTATATTAACGTTGTGATAGAGACTAGGATATTTCTTACAATCTATGGTTCCAATTCTAACTGCGAAAATGATTGAGAAAATCAAGAAATGAATTAGATCGAATTCCTTATTTTCACATTGATGAAGGTACCTTCCATGCAGTTTAAAGTTTTCAAGAAATAATTTGAATTATGAGATAATAAATACAATGAATCTCTCAAAAAAGAAAGCACTTATAATTTGTAAATCACACAAGTATCTTATTCTTATATTAAACCAATTATATTTTTAGGAGTGATTAATTTTTGGGAAAGAAAAGTTTTTGGCTTTCTACTACTTACTTCATCTTGATACAGAAGAACAAGCGAGAATCTTCCAAAGAAAGGAAGGGAGTAATCAACTTTGAAAGTAGTAACTCTCTACATAAATGTGTAGATCATGCATAGAAGTAACTTCCAGACACAAACTGGAATTACACGAAAGAAAAATTCTTTCAAAACAAATACTTTTATATGAACACTAAATTATACAAAAAACACTTTTCTCCTGTTTACTCAGTTTGTATTCCAAACATTCGTTATAGAATTATATCAGATATCATTCACAGGAGTTCTACACAATATTCTAAATGAGTGGTAAAATTTCACGTACATGGGACACTGTCATCCTCACTGGTAGATATCGAAGTTTCGCCATAAGACACTTGTCTTAGGGCTCTTCAGTACCAATCTCGATAATATTACAAGAAAAAACACATAATTCATTCATAAATTACGATTTTTATGTCACGGAACAAGTTTGATCTACTTATGTCATTGATGACATCGTAATGACATTCATTCACTTATTTGATTAAATCCCAGCCATAGGAATCTTGTTTATATTGAAAGAATTATATTTTTAGGAGTGAGTAATTTTTGGGAAAGAAAGTTTTTGGCTTTCTACTACTCGATCTTGATACAAAAGAAAAAGTGGAATTCTGGTACCTGAAAGGTAATTCATTGAAAAAACATGAAACGAATTGATGGATTAATTCATGGTGGACACACTTGTTGTTTTTCTCTTGATCATTTATTTTTACGCATAAAGTTTTTCGTCATACTAATTAGTTTCATCCATAGATATCCTTTGAATTTTTACTTCAGATTAAGGAGGCTTGAATACTGAGGAGGCTAGTGTAGGAGGTCTGTTTGACGATTTTCTGCTATCGAAAACATGGATCAAATAATTTTTTCATGAATTATCGTATCAAATGCTTTTGAAAGGTCGACAAAGATACACAAGGCAGGTTTTTCTTGTCCAATGCATTATATATTGTATACTCTTATATTTACAAATTGATTTAACATATTTTCTGGGAATATAATGGCATAAATTGTGTGTCTCCCAGAAGGACAGAATGCATGTGACTTTTCAGGGCTTCTGGGATAGTTTTTATAAGTCAAGGTCTAAATATACGCAAAGTATCTCTGTCCAATGGTTTTGACAAATGTTCATTTCTCGTATAGTGAATATGATTTACGGTTTGTGTACAAAATTTTCTTTTACATACAGCTTTGTGAAATCCACCACATTCACGCCTGTAAATAATTGGATGCCGGAATATGTGGAAGGAAGTCTCATCATTGCTTTTAATATTCTTTTTTGTAAGATTTCCTGCGGTAGAATGTGGCGGTGTCGTAATCCCCTCATGCTATAATTCCGTATTGCAGTAGTGATTCCACAAACAGTATTTTTAGTTTGGGGAAAGGAATAAAATTCTTGAACTGGTGAAACTACTCTAAAATTTCTGTAATTTGTTAGAGAATGTAGATTTTCTACAGTGTCTTCATTATGTATGATTTACTAGACACACATATTGCATTTTCTAGAAATTTTATTCACCTTCTATTTTTTTTTCAGAAAATGTTTCGTCAAAAAGTCAACCAAATGACGAACACAGTGAATACAGGAGCGGCCGATTTTCAGTTGGCTTTCATTTACTTCTACCAGTGGCCGGATTGACCTTACTTCTCTTGGGGAAAACGCATTTGTTGACCAAATTATTGTTACATTTGGATAGAAACTGCGTTTCAGGTAAGACAATTATAACCAGAATATCTATCTTAAAATCATTATCAACTCATACTATGGAACGCTGTTTTACTTTTTATTGTCACAAATATTCATTCCTCAATTTATTCAACTAACAATTTATTTGTTTGAATTTAATTGATTCATGCATTTGTTCGACACATTAAAAACGATTGTTCGCAAAATTTGTTCTATTTTAAATGACACTTGATTTAAAATGTTACATGAATTAATTTGTTTAATTGAAAGTTGCGAACAGTTATAATATAGATTCATTGTTTGGAATTTTTGGGAGTATATGTTTGTCATATATACTTTTTTGTAACTATCGAATAATTTACTACAATTTCTGTGAAACATGAATGAATTTGTTTGTTGATAATTATAGTTACATGAATTAAAACGATTGTTGATAATTTTAATTCGGCGCTAGCGTCGAGAGGATTCTTGCAGAAGCTGAATTTTTAAATCTGGCAACATGATAGTCTAGTGATAGTAACACAATATTCCGTCCGACCTCAACGTCGAATAAAAATTATCAACAATCAATTTAATTCATGTATCACCTTAAAGCAACAATCAAAATAATTCATTTTTACAAAATACCAATAGAAAGTAAAACGGCGTGCCACGTCGTTTAACTTTTTATTAATGTTCCTTTGAAATGAGCTGGATTATTTTGTTTGTTGAATTTCAGTGATACATGAATTGAATTGATTGTTGATAATTTTTATTCGGCGCTGACGTCGGGCGTATTTTTGAGGAACTACATAACTGCATATATGTGTGGCGTTGGTCATAGTACGGTAATAATCCGTTCGACCGCAGCGACGAATAAAAATTATCATGAACTAGCATGTTGCCATATGTAACACTTGATGCTCTTGATAAATCCGCTCGATACCAGCGCCGAATTAAAATCATCAGCAATCGTTTTAAACGTATTTTTTAAATACAACAAACTTGAGAATGTTTCGCACAAAAGTTGTAACCAAATTTTAAATTGAATGCATTAAAGTGAATGTTGGAAATATTCAATATTCTCAATAAGATTGAAATACTACAATCTTCATTATTCATAGAAAAATATTTAGTGTGGAAAGTTAATTTTCTTTATTTTCAGACAAACGAAAGTCTATTTTTACTTCCAACAATGGGAAAACTTTGACAGTCATTCAAATATATTCATTGAAATTTTATTCCCAAACTTACATTCAGAAAGTGAATTCTAAGTTTCATTATAATTCAACGATCATATAAATAACTAACATTTTATTCAAAGGTCAAAATTATATGCGGAATTGAAACGTTTGTTGAATTTACTCGAATAATACATTCCATTGACTGTTGAATAAAAATGTTCGTCCATTGCTGAGTTGAACTATATGTATATAGATTATTTTTCAGCATAATATATAGTAAATTGGCCTTCCATTTTCCAATACTCTGAAACAATATTTTTCTTCGTAATAAATATAAGCTTCAAGTTGAATTGAAGGGGTTATATTTTTAGGAGTGATTAATTTTTTGGAAAAGAAAGTTTTTGGCTTTCTACTACTCCATCTGATACAAAAAAAAGGGATGAGAGAATCTTGCATGATCTACACATTCATGTATAGAGTTTCAAATTGATTACTTCCTTCCTTTCTTTGGAAGATTCTCTCATCCCTTTTTTTGTATCAGATGGAACTTTCTTTCCCAAAAAAGCTTCAAGTTATTTCATTAGTCTTTTTTATTCAAGTAACAATTTTATTCACGTAACATTTTAAATCAAGTGTCATTTGAAATAGAACAAATTTTGCGAACAATCGTTTTTAATGTGTCCAACAAATGCATGAATCAATTAAAGTCAAACAAATAAATTGTTAGGTGCATAAATTGAGAAATGAATATTTGTGACAATAAAAAGTAAAACGGCGTTCCATATCAAACCGAAGAAATATTAGGAATTCTTCAGTATTCCTGACTTCACGAATTCTTTATTCCATTACAATTAAGGCTAACACGCCATTTTTTCACCTTTATTATAATCAATTATTCAGAAGTATAATATGTGGAATACAACTATAAATCCTATCAAGTGTATCATTTTGTTGTCACAGCGAATAGTTTGCCTAATTTGAAAATCGAGCAGGTCTGTTTCAAATCATAAGAAATTCTGTAAAAACCACCAAACCACCTTATATTTTTGAAAAATTTGAATTTTTTGTGAGAAGTGATATGAATACTTAAGGCTTAAAATCGATGGGTATCAAAAAAAATCGATAAATGTATCAATTATATAAGAGAACAAGAAATAGACATCTCGAGTTTTGAAAAAGATGTAATAGCCGAAACTAGTCAACAATGAAGAAATGTCGTGGAAAATCTCGAAACATTTATCTTTCCCAATGTACCTGATAACAACTACTTCCCCGGCTACTACCACTCTGGACATTGAACTGTATCCCAAAGACAGTCATGCAAGGTTTTTCACATATAATCAGTGAGCATACTTGAAGACTGGCTATAAATCAAATCATCTAAAGGAACAATTCGTTCAGGCCAGTCTCAACCCCCTACACTGTAGGTTAATGGACTGACATCTATCATAAAACAACTACTTCCCTGGCTAATACCACGAAGGACGTTGGATTATATCCGACAGGTGTCAGTGCAGGATTCTTCATTGAAGTTATTCCTGCATATGCTGTTGGCGATACAACTACCGCAATGGATTTTCAATTATTGGAACACACTTGCAGACTGGTTTCGGACTGTTTGGCCACTCGTCAGTGCAAGGTAGTGTATATCATCAACATAAAGTCGATGATTTCCGATAATTGAAAATCGAATTCTTTCAGAGTATCATTCCTCGATCAATGCTGAAGCGGACAACAAACAACACGTTTGTCAACGCCCCATCTACCTGTAAACGAGGTAACCAACCGAATATCCGAAATTAGCCCGATTTCTCGTATACCTACTTGAAGACTGGCTATAAATCAAATCCTCTAAAGAAACAATTCGTTCGGGCAGTTTCAACTCCCTATACTGTAGGTTAATGGACTGACACCTATCAGAAAACAACTAATGGCCAAACATCCCGAAACCGGTCTGCAAGTGTGTTCCAATAATTGAAAATCAATTGTATCGCCAGCAGCATATGCAGGAATAACTTCAGTGAAGAATACTGCACTGACCTGTCGGATATAATCCAACGTCCTTCATGGTATTAGCCAGGAAAGTAGTTGTTTTCTGATAGGTGTCAGTCCATTAAACTACAGTGTAGGGAGTTGAGACTGGCCTGAACCAATTGTATCTTTAGATGATTTGAGTCATGCAAGATACCTCACAGAAGTTAGTCTTGCTGATGTTTCTCGTTCTTCCAACAGTTGGACCATGCTAGAATAAATCGAATAGATCACCTACATACTGATTTAGAGGTATTACCTCTCATTAGTGCAGGACAAATCCGACCCAAACAGCAATGTGTTCATAACTCGATTAATTTCAATGCGGCTCGACTGCATGTATGAAACCTTCGTCGAAGAGAAAGATTGTTACCTACTAATAGATTAATCTCATGAACAAAGTCTCAAGCGGGAAAGATAAGGAGCTGTTACTAGTTAACAGCTCCTTATCTTTCTATCGACAGTCTTCAGAATTATTTTGAGTTATATTAATTATAGGCTGGTAAAGTGCAAGAAAATGATGGTTGACTGACTTCAACCTAAGAAAGCCTAACCTAAGATTAAGTATCTTCTGCCTTAGAACCAACTTCAACCAATCGATTTCTCGAACAGAGTTGAAAAAAGATTGAATAACTTTACGTATATATTGAAATTTCATCTCGTTCAGCATAAGTCGGTTATATTTTCAACATTGTTTTAGTGTTTTGCCCGTCTCTCAGCAAAAGAGAAAAACTGCTCAAGTGGGCCTGCGGCAAACTACCAATGACATGGTCCTCAAAAACTGTTCCGACGTTATCAGGTGGAATAGCCGATCTATGGAAGGATGGTTCTTTGCTTTGTACTCTGTTGAACACCGCCATACCAGGAGCATGTCCAAATCCTCACAGACACTGGAATCAACCGCCTGCGCACGCACAAGCGATTGCGTACAAGTACCTAGGAGTGATACCGGTAATCTTTTAATAAGCTTCATTGCATTGTTTTCTGTGCCCCTTCTTAAAATTTTACTTCATTTCAAATATAATCAGATCAAAATAGAGTTGATGTTGGAGTAGCCCAAAGTTCAATTCTAGGGCCACTGATTTTATTGCTCTTGCTCAATGACCTTCCATTATATATTAATAGGCGCTTCTATCTTAATAATTTTGCTGATAATACAACCTATAGAGGATATGATTCTATCGGTTGAATTCGGTATTAGAGAAAAGACAAAACAATCTCATTCCAATAAACTGATGCTGAAGGCACAAAAAACAAAAATTATATATTTCATAAAAACAATCTGATCGATAGTGAAGTTATTCAGACATATGACAATTGCATTTTCTTAATGGTCTTTCTTTAGGAACTACTTCGTTACGAGATAATTTGCCCATCAAAATTTGGTTCCATTCGATGACACATATAGGTCAGGTTAGCTCCAAAGTGAGTGGGTTTATTCGACCCTCCACGGCAACCCGCTTCTTAACGAAGCCGATTAGTTTGTATGGTGGGTGGTCTTTCAGGTCAGATGGTAAGAGTACGGCTCTGCCGAACTCTAAAGACCTGATTCAGTCCCCAGCGGGGCAGGCACAAAGTTTATGCTCTGTTAATGAGGTAGTAGGATAGTCAAGTTGCAAGATTCCCATCTTGATACCCACGACAACCTTCCTATATGAGGGTTTTTGCACGTCAGCTATACCTGACGATGCCTTAGATTCAGCCGTGCAGGGCTTTTTCGCCTCTGGTTTTGGTGAAACCTCACTTGAGCGCAAACGTTTGCTAACCTGCTCATGGGTAGTTTGTTCCCCCACCTGAGACAGATTCTGCGTACGCCGCAGCTCCAGCTCCTGAACTGAATTCACAGGGAGGTCAGTTGGAGTCGTAAACTCCATCTCCTCTGTAGACTCGTTCCTGAACTAAATTCACAGTGAGGTCAATTGGAGACGTAAACTCGACATCCATCTCCTCTGTAGACTCGCTCCTGAACTAAATTCACAGAGAGGTCCGTTGGAGTCGTAAACTCGACATCCATCTCCTCTGTAGACTCGCTCCTGAACTAAATTTACAGCCAGGTCAGTTGGAGTCGTAAACTCGACATCCATCTCATCTGTAGACTCGCTCCTGAACTGAATTTACAGGGAGATCAGTTGGAGTCGTAAACTCGACATCCATCTTCCCTGTAGACTCGCTCCTGGATTAAATTTGACAAGAAGATCAGTTGGAGTCGTAAACTCGACATCCATTTCCTCTGTAGACTCGCTCCTGATCGAAGATTACCTACAGGGAGGTCAGTTGGGAGTCGTAAGCTCGACTTCCATCTCCTCTATAGACTCAGCGTCAGAAAGAATTTTTAAGTTTACTCTGTCCATAAAAGTCCCACGAGTAGCTAGGGAAAGAAGGTCAATCACGGCAGAGCCCCGCATTACCGTGACAAGGCAATGCTACGACGAGAGGGCGCCCGGTATCTCGAAGTTTCCGTAGAGACAGCTCAGTGTCATTCATCCTCTCGGCACGGATACATACAGCTTAGGATTAAGCCATTGTTGGGATGCCATTCAGTTAGGGAATAACAGAACCACAAGTGTTTGTGTCATTCCCCTATCCAGCGGGGCTACGTGGAAGCAGACATCCGATGGCCGGTTTGCTCAACCACCACATCCCAAGCCAATGCACCCGCCGAAAACAGCATGCACAGTGGTTTAGGCAGTGAAAGATGAACAAGGACAGCCAACCCGCCGATGACACATATATGACACAAAACTGAATTATTTTCTAAAAAAAAAATTTTCTGTAAAATAGCCAATATTTTATTCTAAAGACATAATGAATGTTGATTATATATGAAATTAGAAATTAGAGGATGTTTTTGTTCCATTCTAATTTCAAATGCTAAAGTTATTGAACCATCAATTTTGCTTTAATTTTTTTGCTATTCAAATTCGTTTCTGTACATGGGGATCTCGTAAGCGATAAGAGATAGAGTGTCGGTTAAATTGTGGCAAAGTTGTGTATTTTAGAGACCTATTTAATAATGTTAAGAAATCGAATATAGCTCTTTGGTTCTGGAGATATACAGGAAAAACCAAAAAATCCCAAATTATTTTTTTGCCTATATCTTCTTTATTCGCAGACATATTGGAAATCTGTCCACATTTTGCTATTAACACTTGATTGGGCTCTTAGAATATATCCATGAATCTTTTATACAGGGTGTCATCTGACTTGGGCCACCCCCATCTTTGAATCTAAATGCGTACCTGTATTTTTTGTTGTAGTTTTTGAATCGTAGACGTTCACTTCATACTGAGAAATTTAATTCAATTTTATATTTTGGGATGTTTCGGTAATATTCGATTATAATTGTGTGAATTATTCCCTTTTAAATTACGGACCTGGGAATTGGTTGACTGAGTTGTATAAAAACATAATATAACTTTCACGTCTTCCTATGTATCCTAGAGTTTTTCGAGAGTTTTTTTTTCATTTTTGTGTACCTATTCATATTTTTTCCATTGCTCTGAGCGTTTTCTACAATGAACTTCGAATAAGAAAACCTTTTATGATTATTTAAAACAAATCTACATCACATTATAAGTGTTTTAATAAGCAGAAAAAGAAATGATAGCAATAATAATATCCGAAACGAACACTATAATTGTAATGAAAATTGAAATGAAATAATTTATATAGGTACCCTTCCATTTCGAGACATTTTTAAACTCGGTTTTTCATATTATTTATTGCTCTTAATACACGTATTTGCTGCATTGTTGCGAAATCATTCAAAATTCTCAATCTAGAGTCGTCCACATTTTCTATCTCTCTGCCAGCGTAAATCCTATTTTTCAATGTCCCCCATAGAAAATATTCCAAAATAGTATGATCTGGTGATCTTGCAGACCATCTTATTTGCCCATTATTTGTCTCGAAATGGAAGGACTCCAATTCGAACATTTATTGCACAATTAATTTTTTTGTGTATATAAATTACTTACTTCATTTCAATTTTCATTATAATTATAGTGTTCGTTTCGAATGTTATTATTGCTACCATTTTTTTCTGCTCATCAAAACACATATAATATATTTTTGTTGTAGATATGTTTCAGATAATCATAAAAGGTTTTCTTATTCGAAGTTCATTGTAGAAAACGCTCAGAGCAATAGAAAAAATATGATTAGGTACCTATTCTCGAAAACTCTACGGTACATAGAGAGACGTGAAAGTTGCTATTGTGTTTTTAATCAACTCAGTCAACCAATTTCCAGGGCCGTAATTCAAAAGGGAATAATTCACACAATTATAATCGAATATTACCGAAATATAAATTTGAATTCTCAGTATGAAGTGTACGTCTATGATCCAAAAACTACAACAAAAAATACAGGTCCATATTTAAAAATTCAAAGATGGGGGTGGCCCAAGTCAGATGACACCCTGTATGAAAGATTCATGGATATATTCTGAGAGCCCACATCAAGTTCCAATAGCAAAATGTGGACAGATTTTAAATATGTCTGTGAATGAAGAAGATATAGGCAAAAAAAGAATTTGGGATTTTTTGGTTTTTCCTGTATATCTCCAGAATCAAAAGAGCTATATTCGATTTCTTTACATCATTGATATACACAACTTTGCCATAATTTAACCGACACTGTTTAAGAACTCTTTCATCTGGAGAACTGCGTTTATGTGGAATAAACTTCCTGAGAACTTTTTTCCAAATGGATTTAATCTCCAGCGATTCAAATCTGTGATATACTTGTTTTGCTTCTAGTTCTGATTCGATACTCATAGGTAAATTATCCATCTGAAATGAATTTTGATCGTTTCTGAAATACGAGGATATTTTGGACATTTTCTAGCTTGAAAAAAACACTTTCTTTATGTTACTGTGTTTACTTTGTGAACTTGTAGGAGTTCACCTGGATGTGATCGCCATCTAATTTGATGATAATCAAGTTAACTTTCATCTGTACGGATACATCTGTATATCATTTTGACGTCCTCGATAAAAACATATTTTCTGAAACGAAACGTAATTGAATTGAAGAAAGTTCTTGTAGTACCAGATTTATCATCACCTAATCTAATCTTAACTGTTTCAATCAATTCCTAGACAATTTCTTCTCTGAGAAATAAATCAATTTGTTTTGGTTTGTTTGAATTTTTGTTTGTATTTTACAATGTTCAATGTTTTCACATAGATCAAATTAGATTATAGTACAATTCCATAATAGTATGCACTAAGTTCTCAGAAATATTATTGCATTAAAACGAACACATTGTTGTCAAGGTTGTGTTTCTATAAATTTTATCATCATTTTTCCTCATCCGTTTAGTATAATTTCCGTACGCCACTGCAAGAGTCAGATTAAGTTGAAAACGTCAGTCATTTCTAAGAATTTAGTGCCTACTATTTTGGGTTTATAGTATAACTGCCTGAATCTAGTAAGGCATAGCATTCAAGCCGTTTACCATGTCTGTCACTAACTAAAATATTTGCAGTTGCAAGTAAAACTTGCGTAGAATTAAATTCTCCATTACAGTTTTTTTCATCATATATTTGTTCATTTTGAGTTTTGCGTTTGCTTCACGGTCGATTTGTGGTCTAGATTATTACATGAATTACTTATGGCCTCAACGGTAGCAAAAGCCATTATCATATAGAGAGATTATTACTTGAATTACTTTCAAAATGCACAAGGCGGGATTCACAGAACTTGCATTAGGATTCGACGCTTGTGGAAGTCGAAAAAAAACTGTTTCTGTTATGAAAGAGAATTTTATGTTACGTTATCATTGTCATTTGAACAATATTTCTTTATCCACATTGATATTGATGTAAAACAGTATATATGTTCGTTTTCTGCAACAGATTGACTCATAATAAAATTTCACTTGTCCTAATCTCAAATAGTTACTACATAACTTGTTTTTATTATACTAATAATGAACTCACTCTCTTTAGTCCACATAAAATACGTAGAAACAAATTACGTCCAAAAGCATTTATGATACTAATCGACAATTTTTTTCAGATTTTTACTGACGAAGATCTGTCAGGAAGTATGACTTCAAATCTGGAATGTAGTTTCATTAACTACTTGAACAATATCCAGGAAGCTATAGATGAAATATCAGAAGGTAGAGAAACAGATAGACCGGTTACTTCCCAATACGTAGCTAGAGGTATGGGGCTCTTCTCAGGAGAACAACATAAAAAAGCAATATTTTACATCTATTTAGCTGATGAAGAAAGCAACAGTAGAAGTGTGATCGTACACATAAAAGGCCCGTACAGTACTTACGGTCAAGCTACTGTATCGCTCCAAGGAGAATCACTCAAAGTACCTGAAATAGATGTGATATCGGATCAAGTACAACCAGCACAATTATTGAAACCCGAACCAAAGAAAGACTTCCTCAAAAACTTCACCAAGTATTTCAAAAAATATCACCAAAAACACCTTGGCGAGATTATCGCCATCGATGTGGTCATAGAAGGAGATAAGGCAAAGGTGACATATTTACCAAAATACTTCGGAATGTACGAGATCATCATGATCACAAACGGCGAGCTTCTCCAAGGATGCCCTTTCAACATTCATATTTTTAAGAACGATTCAATTGAAGATGTTTCCATAAGTAAAGATGAAGATGAGAAAATTAAGCCTCACCAGAAAAAGAGAGTTATTTCAAAAACAATCGATTTTATCGATGAAGAAATTTCTCTGACAGAGTTTGAAAAGAAATATCAGACCCCAGAGCCTGTCGCTGAAGTCACCAAAATACCCGAGTCACCAAAATTCAATTTTATAGAAGTGGTCGAAGAGATAACTAAAAATAACGAGGAGTTCAAACACATTCTCGATTTGGACCAGGATATTTCTGCAACTGAAACTTCTCTCATAGAAGAATTGCATGAACCAAGTGATGGTTCTCCATTCAATCCCGAAGATGATACATCATCCAAACTCATTGTAAAAGAATCAGATTGTATCAGTTCGCTACAAGTTGGAACCACCAACTACTTCGAAGTAGGAGAAGTAGATAACCATAACAATGTGATAAACTACAATGTTGAGATTCAAATGCCTGTGATAAAAAACAGTAACTTCGGAAATGAAGATGAGTCTCACAGTGAACAAAAGTCAAAATTCTATTCACATTTCAGGGGTGAAGAAGGTTCAAGCGATGAAACTTTAAAAAATATTGCAAAAAATGAAAAAGATTTGTTTCACGTTGAACAGCATTCAAAAAACCATCTTTGTTATCTCCAGAAAGACAACTTCTATGAAACCGTACGAAATTCACCTTCAGATGTCCTTGAGAATGGAAATGGAAGCGAGGTATGTGATGGTCAACACCATATAAATTATCGAAATTTACCTTTAGATGCTATAGAAGAAGACGAACACTGTACATCGGGCTCAGACAATGAAAACACTTTAAGTAATTGTGAACAGCAGTCAACAAAATATACAGATTTATCGTTACATGCAGACATGAGTTGTAATGTAAACTGTAATAATGATATCTCCAGCAAACATGAAATAGTTATAGGCTATAACTCGAAAGTAAACAATCAGGCAGTTGTGTCAATGTTTACCAATGGAACTGTTAATAACCCTGAAAAAAAATTTGCGTTGGATAATGAAAAATCAAGTCCGCGAGTCGGGTCAAAATATATGAACAACACCGTGAACAGAATAAAAATACCAGAAAAGTTTGTAGAGAGTCCGAAAACAATAGTGAAAAATAACTTGGAGAATAAATATTTTAGCCAAAAAATATCGAACACAGAGAGAGAAGATGCGATAACTTCAACCAAAGATAATGTTAAGTATACGATTTTAAGACAATCGAATATAAATAATAAGGTGGATGTCACACAGCAACAGGAAGCGGAGGCGATTCCTAATAGATTTTTCCAACCCCAAAAGATCCCCAAACAGAACCAATCCCTACTCTATGAAAATACTTCCCCAATATGTCCTGACCATATTGTCCCAGAAGTAGAATATATGGAGCTATCAGTGGCGGACAGAAGAAAGGTTAGTAGGTGTTCGTTTCTCAAAAGTTATTGATTGGAGCAATTCTCATCATATTTCATTTTTCACCTAATGTGTTTGAACATTATCCGAATGTTGAGACATTTGTGATTTGTAGTTAGTATTTTCATAAACTACACCTCACGATTTGATCTCCACAAACTTTATTTGAAAAATATATATCACAAAATGTTTCGCTAACACAGTAGCTTTATCAAGTGATTTGAATACAAGTGAATAGTATTTATGAACGAATCTGGATAAGCGTTATCATTCAAAACAGCTTTAATTAATGATATTTCTTTATTGAAATTTTCAGTTGAATTGCATATCGTTTTAGCTCTGTTGTAAAGACAATTTATTATACCTTTTTTAACACTGGCATGATGATTCGATGTATAGTGAAGATATCTATTTGTATGTGCTTTCTTTCGAGATATTACAGTTTGCAAGAGATGTTACAGTGTAAAGTAGACTCATGAAAATGGATAAACATTTTAAAATAACCTCACTACATATAAGGTATTGTCGAAGTATGTTCTACTCACTTTCCTTAAAAAACATCAGAGAATATACAGACAATATAGACAAAACTTTATTATTATAATAAGTAACTATGACAATTGTTGAAAAGATTCTACCGGGTGATTCTCTACGGTGGCTCACCCCTATAACTTTATTATTGGAGATTGTTAGTATCTACAATCGTCTTCGGGTGATGACTGGACTGATTCCTCCGAGAGATGACTATTTATAGGTCGTTCGAGTACTTTCACTTCACTTTCCATTTTTCGCTTCACTGGTTCCGTGGGAGATGACCGTTTTGGCGGGAGTTGGCCATTTTTCGCTTGATGATGGGTTTCCATATGTTGCGTATTTCTAACGCTGGCTTGGCTGAATACGTTGTTGGACAACATGTATGCGGCTTCCTTAAATTTTCTCCTAAACCAATGTTCCTCTCTGAGCAAGATTTCAGCTTGGAACCACTCGATGTTGTGTTGATGGGTCCAAACATGGTATGCTATACCTGATTTGCTGGTTTCCCCTCGCTGTGTGTGTTTCTTGTGCTCGGCAATGCGAACATTCAATGGCCTCTTAGTTTCACCAATATAGGATTTTCCGCACTCACAGGGTATCCGACAAATGCAATTCTTGGAATAGCAGTCCGCGTTTGGTGGCCTGGTTTACGTGAGGCTGCTACGGATAGTTTTACTGGATCTGAAGCAGGTTCTGATGTTGTACTTGGAACCAATTCTTCTTATCCTCTCCGATAATCCTCCACAATCAGTGCTTGCACTTCCCTACATAGGGAAATGGAGATATTTTATTGGGCAGATTTAAGAAAAGTACCTGCATGGGAGGATGTATAAAAAGCATTGGATGTATTGATTGAAAAGGGATATATTGACAGTACTAAAGATACAGAAGTATTTGACGAATTTTCATCAATTGTAAACTACGTAACTCCACAAAAAATTACAGACTGGAATAATTTAAAAGTTCACACAGAAACTCGTTGGGTGGAAGTGTTCAAACACTTTCGCACCAACAATCTGCAACATGAAAATTTTTGTATTTTAATTGAATATATTTTATGTCTACCTGGTACAAATGCTTCAGTAGAGAGAATATTTTCTTTAATGAATAAATTGTGAATGTCCGAAAAAAATTACTTGCAAGTTTCAGTTATGAAGGCGAAGTTGATAACGAAAATCAATATAAACAAAACGTGCCAACAATTTCACTTTTATTTAAAATCATCACCATCTTTATTGAAGCAAAGTTGTTCCTCCGAAAAATATTAATACGACTAAAAATATAATTAATATGCATATAATTTAATAATTACTGTCACATTAACCACTGTCGAGGTTAAGTGGAAGAACAGATTATTTTTATCATCCTCAGATGAAAATAAACTGAACTTCACTTTTAGTTTCCTGTAATAAAAATTTTTGTATTGAACTGTTAATTACCTAATGTTGGAAATAATGAAGACGAATTATTATTATTATCAAAAGGTGCTTCATTGAGTCGATACAGTATGTACTATGGTCCATACTGCATGGACTATACATACATACATACATAGGTATATTATATATAGACGTCCCGTTTTGAGTTAAAAAAAATGGCCAGTTCAACTATAATACATAACCCCCCAAATTTCGTTTTTCTATCTCCACTAATAAAAAAGTTATAGGGGTGAGCCACCTTAGAGAATCACCCGGTATATTGTCGAACTTATTATTGATACCTTGTCAAACTGATGAGAATGTGATTTCATTTCGAAGATAACTTCTTCAAATTTGATTACCAAGCTGCCTTTGACTAAAGCCCCGTTTGAACGATTCGACTTTCTTGCTTAATGATATGAAATTTTTCCAGATATTCGCCCAATACTCCAAAGACAGTGTAAACAGCTCTAAGAACTCCTCGTTTTCGGAAACCGAAAATACAGATGGATCTCGTTCCGAAAGCCATTACGAAAACCTCAGCGTTCTGAACGTAATAGATGCTCTCAAACAATCCGACAGTTCATCCATTAACGAAAGTTATTCGTTGTCCAGCGCCAAAAGTTTACCAGATATGTCTCTAGAATCGGACGATTCCCTGTGTGATTCGGTGAGGGATAGGAGAAATTTCTGGGAAAACATTTCGAGGAGTTCCAGTTCTATATCTCTCATCTCAATGAAGAGAGTCAAAAATAAGCTGGAGGAGGGAGAAAGGTATGGTATTTCATCACTGATGACTGAAAAGCGTTCAACAAGCACTTTTTCAAAAAACCAGGACTGAAATACTCTTTTCGACGCGCGTTTCACCGACCAAGTTGGCGTTTTCAGGAAATGAAAGCTTCATATGCGAATCATCGAATGAGTAATCAATTTGGATGAAAATAAAATTGAAATGATTTACGTCAACTGAAATGACATATACGGTGTTCAAAAACCATATAATGGAACCTTTGTATATAGACTAAAGTTAAACCTTTGTATATGGATAGTTTATATACAGAGATTAAACCACTGAAGTAATTTTCTGCCAATAATCATAAATAGTGATTGTACAGAGTGACCCACCACATTCGCCTTGGTATTTCTACGAGAAATGAAGAGAGGGAAAAACTTTTAGCACAGTTATATGTGTGCGCATGAGGAGCATATTTCAAAATTATTTTGGAATATATAGGGTCACTCCCAAAAAAGTTACTTAACAAAGTTATATTTTTTCTTATTGAACACCCTATACTTTTTATATTTTTAGATACTATAGACACAATGAAGATGAGTTACTATTATATTTCCCATACTTAAAACTGACCGTTTTTGAGAAATTTAAGAATACAGACCATAATTTAAAAATTGTTTTCACCCTGTAACGTGTAACGAGCTGCTCGTGATTAAATGTACTGCCTAGCTTAAAGGTTAAAGTTACCTACCACATGAAATTTTTAATGCAATATCATTCAGAGTGGCGGAAAAAATTGCCTCAAAATTTGGACACACATTTAATTAAATAACTTCTTAAAGTTGAATGGAACACCTCGTATTTAGTGTCGTAATTTGACGCAGAAGTAGATTCCCTTCAAAAATATATTAGGGTTTCCTATACCTATACTCTTCTGATTTTTACACAAAAGGCGTTTTTATATTGTGCTTATGAGTAATTTTTTCATCTTAAAAATTGAACACCCTGTATTGCAATGAAATGCATAAAAGCATTTTGAAGTCATTTTATCGAAAAATTAAGAGTCTTGAATAGTTTATTATTTTAATAAATGATCAAAATGGTATCTATTATTCTCGATGCATAGACGAACTCTTTCTTGAAATGAGTGCTGAACTCATATCGCATATTTTGCGATATGGAACGAAACGCTCTTCTTATTCGTACTTTTATATCTTGAGGTGTCGTTGGCGGTGTATCGTGAACAATACTTTTGATATATTGTTAATAAGATCGCACCCGTGAAAACAATAATATATGGCGTAAACGACCTACCTTGGTATGACGATAATATAAAAAAATTTAGCAGAGAAAGAGATCGTGCATATAAAATCTTCAAAAGTATCTCTAATACAACCAACTGGGAAAATTATAAACAAAAACGTAACGCTGTAGTTAATTTGATAAAAGAGAACAAAAATTGTTATTATATCCAAATTGACAGAAATATGCATAATCCACGTTTAATGTGGAAAACGCTAAAAAAATTAATAAATCCTTAACAAATTAATAATGATTTCTGCAATGGTGTGCAATTCGAAAAAAAATATCAGATTTTTTGTGTAAGAGATAAAGGAGAGATTTCTGGGCATTTTAATGAGTTCTTTGTCGATAGTATTGATGATATGGTGTCTAGTATTGAAGATATTGAGTTTTCTTGTAATATACAGTGGAGTGAAAAAATTCAGTAGTTTTAAATTAGTATCTATACATTAGTTGGGTATAATTATGAAAAATCTAGAAAATAAAGGAAGTCAAATTTATGAACTAAATAGTAAAGTTGTGAAAAATAGCTTTGATGTTATTGGTCATGTGTGGTGCCACTTTGTGAATGTATCATTGGAAAACGGCACATTTCCCGAGGAATTAAAAACCAGCACTGTTACACTTATCGAAAAGGTTGCAAATACTAGTGAAAGTGGTGAGTTTAGACCAATCAATTCTTTGCAAATTGAAGAAAAGCTATTGGAGACAGTAGTTTATCAACAGTTATTAGAATATATTAACTCCAAAAATTTGCTATTCATTAATCAGTCTGGCTTTAGATCAAAGCACTCATGTGAATCAGCTATACAACTCACTGTCACTAAATGGAAGGAAAAAATGAGTAATCATCTGTACACTATAGCAGTATCACTGGATCTAAGATGGGCTTTTGAAACAGTAAATAGAGATATATTATTAAAAAAACTAAATAAATATGGTGTAGAAGGTAAAGTAATCAATTGGATCAGAGGATACCTTACAAATAGAAAACAAACAACAAAAATTTGTGACGTAATGCCGTCAGATATTACAGTGAATCATGGAGTTCCTCAGGGTAGTATTTTGGGCCCTCTATTGTTTTTAATGTTTATTAGAAAATAAAAAAGAAAGAAAATAAAAATAAAAAAGTGGAGAGATTCCAAGTCACGTTAGTTCACGGGTGATGACCCAGTCATCTCCCGAAGACGATTGTTGATACTAACAATCGAAACGTCGTGAACTAACGTGACTTGGAATCTCTTTATTTTTACTTTCTTTTTTCTTTTCTTTATTTTTATTTATTCAATTATTCTATTTTTACTTGTATTTTATTTCACTATTATTTCATTTCAGGTTTATTTTTGTTAATATAATTGTTATTTTCAGCTACTCATTTTCAATTCTTCTTTTTTAGTTGTTTCAGGGATTTCAAATCATTTTATATAGGTAGTAGACAATGGAAGTCCGAACTAGTGAAATTCATCATGAAACATTGTCAATCACCTTCAAAAAAAATCATATCAATTCGTTCTTCCTGGGGATAAGTTCTCATTTTACAATATTTCAAAATGACAATAATTTCAAACTAATTGAAGCTTTTCATTACAATACATGGTATTCCATTTTTAGGATGAAAAAATTACTCATAAGTAAAATATAAAAACGCCTTTTGTGTGAAAAGCAGAAGAGATAGTTATAGAGAACCCTAATATAGTTTTGAAGGGAATCTACTTCTGCGTCAAATTACGCTACTAAATACGGGTTGATCCATTCAACTTTAAAAAGTTATTTAATTGAATATGTGTCCGAATTTTGAGGTAATTTTTTTCGCCACTCTGAATAATATTGCATCAAAAATTTCATGTGGTAGTTAACTTCAACCTTTAAATTACGCAGTACATTTAATCACGAGCAGCTCGTTACACGTTACAGGGTGAAAACAATTTTCAAATTATGGTCTGTATTTTTAAATTTCTCAAAATTTCTCAGAAATGGTCAGTACTAATAATAGTACCTCACCTTCATTTTGTATATAGTATATAAAAATATAAAACATATAGGGTGTTCCATAAGAAAAAATATAACTTTGGTATGTAAATTTTTTGGGAATCACCCTTAATATTTCAAAATAATTTTGGAACATGCTTTTCATGCAACAACATATAACTGTGCTTGAAGTTTTTCCCTAACTTCCTTCATTTCTCGAAGAAATAACGAGGCGAATGTGGTGAGCCACCCTATATATCTGTATGTAACATCTCAAGGTACCCTTACTATGTTTTGCACAAGCACAGGCGAACCCGTGTCATCCTTGATTGAAATATAAAATATTTCATTAGGCGCTTCCCATTTTTAAATGGGGCTAAATTTGATCGATGCGGTTTGTGGCTTATTCGCCTTTACCACCTGCGACTTAGAAAAACCCTACAAGAAAAAGTCTAATGGGTCAAATCTTGGTGGCCAGTTCACGTCACCTGCACCTGAGATGACCATCTCCTCAAATCGCTCGTGCAGAATATCCAATGTGGCCTGTGTTGTTTGACATGTAGTGCCATCCTGTTGTCCACATGTCATTGGTGTTCAGATCATCAAATTCAGGCCAAAAGAAGTTGGTAATCATCGACCTATAGTGCTCGACAGTGATGGCCTGGCCAACGTCGTTTTCAAAAAAATATGGACGATGACGCCACCAGTTCAAAATCTACACCAAACAGTGACTTTTTCGGGATTCATTGGACGCTTTTGGATCTCATGTGGATAGGTATCGTTCCAAATTCGACAATTTTGTTTGTTCACGTACCCATCAACTAGAAATGGGCCTCATCGCTGAAGATTATTGTTCGATGAAAATTAGGACCAGTTGCCAACTGCTCCAGAGCCGATTCAGCGAACACACGTCGTTGTCTATGGTCGTTTACCTTCAGTTCCTGGGTCAGTTGAACTTTGTACGGGTGCAGGCCCAAGTCATGACGCAGAATACGCCTTGTTGTGGTCTGCGAGCCAAATTCTTGTGAGCGACATGAAATCGACTGCCTTGGATTTTCCTGCACACTCTCACAGATAGCGACGATATTTTCGACATATCTTACGTTTCGTCGACGTACGGGTGTTAGTCGATCGTTTAATGAATCAGTAGACTCAAATTTATCTACCACATTGCGAATATTCCTCTCGGTAGGACGATTATGGCCACCGTAAAATAGGCGAAGGGCGCGGTACGTTACCTGATCAGAACACCCATTTTGTTGAAAAAAAATTATAATTCGCTCGTGTTCTTGAATGCTACATCCGTCCATGGTGATTTGACAGAACATCTGAATTAATGACAACTTATTTGTTGAAGTTCGGAAGTCCCTATTTCAATCGAAAAACATAGGAAATCTCAACAGTTATATGTATTTAACTGTTAATAAAACATTTTACCGTGGCTGCCATTCATATTCATAGAGTATCTATCCAAATTATCCCCAACCCAATTTTTGATATACCATAATGACAAATGATGGAGAAGTAGAAAGCCAAAAACTCTTTCTCTCAAAAACTAATGTCTTCTGGAAATATACCCTGTATTATCAATTTTACCGACCTATTGCAATAGACCGAAAACTTAATATATCATTTCAGATAGCACTCACGTCTTCTAACTTATATCCTGAAATTTAACATCTGAAACATTTTAGTTTGAAGTAGCACTATTGCAGTAACCAAGTATGATTTCATACTGAAAAACCCAGTTTTCACCTCAAACCCAACCATT